GTGTGTGTGTGTCAGTGCCTCCTAAGCCTGTACACCTGTTGTGTGGAGCTGGTGTTCCTGTTCCCCGTGCGCCTGCCCGAGCCGGAGACCTGTCTGCTGGGCTCGTCCGCAGTCTCCACTGCTCCCGGTGAGTGCACAAACACACACACACACACACACACACACTATACTCCACTATAGGGGTGTGTGGGGTATGTCCAATATTCATGTATGTGTATATAGTGGTCTCGATATATGGGTTCAGCATGGATATCGCAGTGTGTGAGTCTGCAATAATCTGCAGTGTCATGTTAATATATTATTATAACATCCCCTAATCGAATAGCTTATAATAGTGTGAAATATTTTTATTTGGATGTGTTTTTAAGTGAATTTAAACTGTTTGGGCACAAGAAATGGCATTTAACAAAGATTAATTGTGTTTAACCCTTGTGCGTTGTTCAGATTGACTCCGCTTTGGTGATGTTGGGGCTGTTTTTGACCCATTGACTCCTATTATAATCACATTTATTGACTGTAAAGTCGTGACAGCAGATATCCATGCAGCCTTGATTGTTGCTGGTTTTCCCTGTTGGGTTTTAGAGGGGCAGTGTGTCATTTCTACCTTACAGCTCACTTAATTTTGACTCATTATTTCTGAAAACGACACCCAAGTTTCATTTGGTCATGGAAAACCTGGAAAAGTCATGGAGTTTTGACATGGTGTTTTCCAGGTCTGGAAAAGTTTTGGAAAAACAGAAAAAAAGTTTTGGAAAAGTCACGGAAATTAGTTTAAGAGATATCTGTATAGTTGAATTGGAAAAATCTGACACTACGGTATTTAGTATTTCTGTGATGTGCATTACGCTGTGAATACAGTTTCACCACATGATTTTACAGGTTTATTTGGATTGATTGGGGGGATATTGTTGGGGAGTGATTATCCATTAATATATAACGAATAAATGCCAAGCATAGTGTGGCGAGGGGGCGTGGCCGAGAGCCGTGGGAACGGGGTGAGGCCACCGCGTGAGTGGATACACGTGCGGTGCGCACCTGCCTCGGATCCCACGGAAGGAGCTCTGGACCATAAAAGGAGGACCGATGGCAGAGGAAGCCGAGAGAGGACCGGGCCCGGGCATGTTATTTTACTTTTGCTTTCAGTTTGACGGCAGTCTCCGCGAGGAGCTGCCGTCCGTTTGTTTTGATTTTAAATGGCAGTCTCCGTGAGGAGCTGCCGTCATTATTATCAATAAATCATTTTAAAGCTCCGTCGGTTCTCCGCCTCCTTCTTCCCGGCGGCCAAAGGGCCGTAAACTTCATTACAGTGGTGCCGAAACCCGGGAGAAGGAGGGACGCGTTGTCCAGATGCCCTCGCCGCTGAGAGAGGGGGCGAGTGTTCGGGAGTTAACCCGAGTGGGGGAGAAACCCGTTCGTCTGCCCAGAGTGCCGGGGCGGCCTGAGGCTGGCGAGGAAAGGATCTGCCTGCTGCCGTCTCCCAGCATGGGGAGGAGCAGGGGACGCGGGGCTCACCACCGGAAGGGAAAGAGCTGAAGGGAGCCATCCCACAGAACCCGGGGGAGTCGCCGCGATCCGCCATGATGCCAGAGCCTGCATCCGTCCACCGAAGCGGGAGCGGAGCAGGAGACCAGAAATGCCGCCAGCCAGCCAGGAGAACCGCCGCCGGACGCCAGAAGACGGACGGGTGGATAGATTCCTCCACAGGGCTCCCAGCACGTCGTCGCATCTCTCAGCTGGTGGAGGACCGAGTGGCAGCGTGTCTGGAGAACCGAACCCCTTTTTTTTTTTTCCTTTTTCCTCTCTCCCCTTTCTCGGTCTACTCTGTCTTTCCTCCTTTTTTTTTCCATCTCCTTTTCTCTCGGCCCGTCTCATATAGGTCTCGCGGGTGCTGTGGCGCCAAACCCCCCCCCCCCGGAGTATGCACAGCCACGGGGTGCCCCCGGCCTGTGATGGGAGATGGGGGTATGTGGCGAGGGGGCGTGGCCGAGAGCCGTGGGAACGGGGTGAGGCCACCGCGTGAGTGGATACACGTGCGGTGCGCACCTGCCTCGGATCCCACGGAAGGAGCTCTGGACCATAAAAGGAGGACCGATGGCAGAGGAAGCCGAGAGAGGACCGGGCCCGGGCATGTTATTTTACTTTTGCTTTCAGTTTGACGGCAGTCTCCGCGAGGAGCTGCCGTCCGTTTGTTTTGATTTTAAATGGCAGTCTCCGTGAGGAGCTGCCGTCATTATTATCAATAAATCATTTTAAAGCTCCGTCGGTTCTCCGCCTCCTTCTTCCCGGCGGCCAAAGGGCCGTAAACTTCATTACACATAGATAAATAAACTATAGTGAAAGTGAATGATAGTGTTCAGGTGTTCACTATTCAGGTGCACATGTTGAATAATCAACACTGCACAGTCTTCATTAAAGTCTTTATTAAAGTTGTGGCCGGATGCTTTAAACTCTGGAATATTGAAATGTTCACACGGTCACAGGCCTTAAAGGGGCAGATCACTTAAAGATTAACATGTGCTCACTGTTCACTTCACTGGTTTCAATACTATGGAGTTATTCAATTCTATTGCTTTTGTGTTCATTTAAAAAAGGGGAAAACTCTTAAATGTTTGGCACAAGTGACGGGTGTAATGAAAGTGGTGAGTAATTTTTGGGTGAACTGTCTCCTTAAAAACCCCATTATGATTAAACTCAGGCCTGGATTGGCTAATCAGGAGGACCGGGAGAATTCCCGGTTGGCCGGTCCATTTTTTGGCCGCCAGAGCCGGTGTCATTGAAAAAAGTGTTGCATGCAGAACTGTTGCAAACAATTTATTTGTGTTGAATTTAAACAAACAAACTAAATTGAATAACGTTTAACTTAATTTGTTTGTTTAAATTCAACACAATTAAATAGTTTACAACCACTTAACGTAAAAAAATTCAAGGAATCATCTTTGAATAACTTTTTTCAGTCTGCTTGCACTTTCAGCAGTGGCTCTTTCTTTCTTTATTTATTTATGTGACCATAGCCTCACTCCTTTTATTCATTATTTTGCCGCAGCTCTGCTCTTTTTATATATATATATTTTTTTATTCTAATTTTTGCAGACAGAAAAACAAAGAACAGACAGACAAACCCATCATGAGAAAATAATCTGTGCAAAATGTAAAATAAAGCAAGAAACAAGAGAAAATGGCCACATACACAACAAATATGACCTACACAAAGACAGCAATGGATGTAGAGAAAAAAACAACAACTTACAAATCTTCATAAATTAAACGACACTCCTAGTCTTTATGGTGTTGCAGAAAAAGAAAGACTGGGTCCCACATTTCATAAAATTTCGCAGAGTTCCCAGAGGTGGTACATCTTATTCTTTCCAAATGTAAACTGGAGGTGAGTTCGAGAAGCCAATCAGAAAAAAGCCTAATATTTATTTTCCAAAAACAAAGGATAACTTTTTTAGCTATGATCATGCCATACTGAACGGATAACCGTACATTTCTGTTGAGAGTCTCAAGAAAATCTGACCAGCCAAAAATTGCTGTCATTGGGTCAGGGAGTAAAACACAATCGTAAACCTTAGCAAAGAACTGAAATATTTCAGCCCTGCTGTTTTTATTTATTTTCTCACAGCCCCATGAGCAAAATGCAGCCTGCAGGTCATTCAGCAGCTTGGTGAAAATAAGAATTTGAATAATTAATATTAATCAATATTACACCTGCTCAATAGAAATGAGATGATTCACTACATTAATAAATCTGGTAATACTTAATCAGAAATCCAAAAAGGGGAGAATAAACGGTGAGAGTGCCATACTTATTTTATTCCAGCATCATAACAGCACCATTGTAGTCCAGTGGTCAGCACGTTGCGTTACGATGTCGCCAACCCGTTTTCGAACCTCACATGAATAGCTAGTGTTTTTTAGTGTTCAGACATATAACACTGTTTGGGTCACTTATATAGGTGTACATATTTTATTTGTATTTTTGTGTGACCACCGTTACAAAGAACTGGATATCTATAAATAACTTAGCACAGAGTAGATATTCAGATATATTCAGATATCCACCCACTCCAGCCCTAAAACTATAATCCCATCTGTGCATATACTGCATTGTGACTACTGCGGATGCACACATTGATGCTGAAACCATACATTGTGCAGCTCTTACTTGAATATAGGTTATTTGTCTTTACTTCTGTTCTGTCCTTAGCCCAAAACTATATTGAAAAAATTCAATATAAAAACTAATTTAAACACAACAGATTGTTGCGTGTTCTATCATATGCTGTAATAAATCTGAACATCATCGTTTTGCTTATTACAGGCACAGTTCAGCCAAACATGTAACAACACTGTGACATTATCCCTTCTAATAGACCTTTAATTCAGTACAGATACTGTATACTAGATAGTTTCAGCCTCTGGGTTGTTGAAGACGGTCAGCTTTGGCTCTGGTTCTTACAGATGCTGCACATACGCTGAGTTTAAAATAGTCTGAAGTGTCAAACCTGCTTATATTAAAGGGCACTTACCATCCTGATGTTGAAATAGGATGCAAATCCCCGTGATTTTACGCCCCAACGCAACATGACGTGACTCAAACTGGACCTCTGCTTCATCCATGTCTGTCTCTATCACTGACTGCTGTTTATGTAACAGTGGGCGGGAACCGAACCAGCTCATTTGCATTTAAAGGCACAGGCTACACTTCACTTTGACCCTAAAATGTCTGGTGTCAGCAGGCTACAATGAACGATCTGAAAACACATTTTGGAGACACCAAACACTGATCTGATATCTTGTAAAAGGGCTCAAACAGGAGTCCATTAACACACACACACACACACACACACACACACACACACACACACACACACAGATGTAAGAAACGTGTGTTTTTGCTTCTGATTGTGGCTCTCCCCCTCAGGTTTCTCCATCAGCGGCTCATGATGGACTCTCCAGATATTCTTCATTCGGACGCTCAGCTCTCGCTCTCAGACAGACTCTCCTGCACACCGGCAGAGATTTCAGGACTGCCAGACGCTGTGCAGTGCAGCAAACACACACAGGAGAGCAGCGAACACACACCCATGCAGCAGGACGTCCCGCCGGAGGCTGACGGAGAGACCAGCGGGAAGATCCCCAACCGGGACAGCGGGATCGACAGTCCGTCCTGCGGCGGAGAGGGAGAGTGTTTCCCCAATGAGGAGCACAAACAGGAATACACACACGAGGAAGACAAACGAGAACACACACATGATGTGGACAAACAGGAACACACACACGAGGAGCGCAAACGAGAATACACACATGATGAGGACAAACGAGAATACACACATGAGGAGGACAGCGATCTGGAGGAAGAAGAGCAGGAGGAAGAGGAGGAGGACCAGAACACAGAGATCAAGGTGACACACACACACACACAGATACATATACACATACTCACACACACAAATACACACACTCATATATACAGGGTTGTACAGTGAAACTGAAGGCCTGGTGTTAGAGCGCTCTAATTGGTCAGTCTGCTGTAGCTCCTCCTCCTCAGTGTAGTGATTGACAGACAGGAGTCCTGCACAGTGTCCGGAGGGTCTCTGAGCGGTTCTTCTTCAGAATAGTGTTCAGGTCACTACTGAGGCTGCTTTCCTGACCTGCTCCTCCAAAACACCCCAAAGTGCTCAATAATGTTGAGATCTGGGTACTGTGCAGGCCATGGGAGATGTTCAACTTCACTGTCATGTTCATCAGAGCGCTCTGTCTAGAGTCCTGCTGTGTGTATCGCTGCATTACCACCACCTTCAGGATACAGTGTTTGACCCAATGGGTCACGTGGTGCTCTGGAATGGTTGGGTAGTCTTTAGCAGTGACCCAGCGCCCATCTAGCAGCAGCATTGGGCCTCGGGAACGCCATGATATTGAGCCCAAACCATCAGTGCCCCCCCCATGCTTGGCTCTGTCACTGTTGTGTGTTGCTGCTGTGTATGAGAGCTGTGTGTCGTGAGGACGGAGGGGTTTGTGTACGCTGCAGTGTGTAGTGCACGTCTCTACAGTGCTGTCTAATAAGGCGACTCAGAGAGCGCTGTTCTACTGAATGTGTTACGCAGCAGCGATGTGTCAAACACCACAGGAAGTGAACATTTTCAAATAGATTGTTGCGTTGTGTGTGTGTGTGTGTGTGTGAGTGTGTGTGTGTGTCATTGACCAGAGACTGTGGAAATTTCTGCTAGTTGTGTGTGTGTCTGTGAAACCTAAATGCAATGGGGTGTGCTAACTTTATTCACACGACTGTATGATGAGAACACACACTCTGAGAATGTGTGTGAGCGACTGTTGTGTGTGTGTGTGTGTGTGTGTGAGAGAGAGAGAGAGACCGGCAGTAGGAGAGTTTCTGTGCTGAAAGAGAGGTGTGACAGGAATAAAGCTCTGTGTGGCTCAGCAGGAGTCGCCCTACACGCCTAACACACACACACACACACACTGATACTGCACCACCTTACACACCCTGGTACAACAGCACACACACACACTCCAAACTGTCAGACATGCTGGAATATTTTATCACACACACACACAATCGCACACTGACACACACACGCTGACACACACAGACGGGCGGCTCTGCTGTCCTGTTTCCTGGTGTGTGTGCTCATCTGCGCAGAGGAAAGGTGTGTGTTTGCTGAACAGCTGACATGTTGATGTGTTTTTAATAGTCTTGCTGCCACAGGATGTGGGAAGAGCCCAGAACACACACACACACACACACACACCTAACTGTACACAAATACAAGTGTGTGTGTGTGTGTGTGTGTGTGTGTGTGATGTGTGTGTGTGAGTGTGTGTGTGTGTGTGTGTGTGTGTGTGTGTGTGTGTGTGTGTGTGTGTGTGTGTGTGTGTGAGTGTGTGTGTGTGTGTGTGTGTGTGTGTGTGTGTGTGTGTGTGTGTGTGTGTGTGTGTGTGAGAAAGTGTGAGAGCGTGTGTGTGGCCTAGGAGCTCAATACATTACAGATTTGCTGACTGTATACAAACCTAACGGATCACCCAGATCATCAGGATCATATAAACTCCTGGGCCCGGTTTTGCAAAAGTAATCCACTGGGATTTTGGATAAGGGATTGGATCAAATCTTGAAAATGGGTTTTTTAAAAAAAAAAAACGGATTACCTAATCGGATTAGATCACGTAATCCAGTCTTGGTTTTGATCTGGATCAAACCTTTAGTTTGGGTTTTTCAGACCTTTTTCGTAGGATCTGGATCACTTTGATCCAAAAAACCTGGATTAAACTGATCCTATCAGAATGGTGGATTTAGTGTGGATTTCATGCCTGAAATGTAATGAAAACTTAAAACATGTATTAAATAATACTATTTTTGGATCATGCAGTATCTTACGAGATATACTATTATTTATAAGGTTTTCATTTTATTTGTTCATCTGTCAGGCTATAGTGATTATTGGCTTTAACGTATTCAGTCTTTCAGTAGAGGCCTACAGCAAAGTAGAAATAGCTTGGCCTCATAAAATAATCCCCCAAACAGCCGTCAAAACTGACCAGAAACAAGATATTTTATTCTGTCACTAATTGATATCTATATTCATCACAATGGAAAATATTTTTGTGTTTAGAATATTTATTAGTGATGCATGCAATGATTACAGAATAGCAAAAAAATGCAAAGAATGGCGATCAGTAATTTTTGAAATCTCTTTCAACAATTGCAAAAAGAGACTGAAAGGGCAGAAGCACAGCTTCATCTGGCCGAGAAACAACTGACTCTGACCAAACTGCAGCAAACAAGGCCAATGACCTGAGATCTGCCTCCTAAAGGCTACGGGGCTAAAGGCTGAGGAAGTCTGAACTTATTGTGGAGTTTTTGACATTCAGTCTTTTTTTTATTTACATCTATATTTAAAACTTATCATAAATATCCTGTACAGTGTTGTAGGTCTCAGATGATCGGACTGCTGGAAGAGGACGGGGTGTTGTTTTTCTTGTTTTTCTTATTTATTATTATTATTATTTTAGGAGTTATTAAATTTTCTTAGTTTTCATTTCAAATAAAAATAAAGATATATTGGCCCCACGCTGGCTATTCTACTCTTTACATATCTATAGTTCTACATTGTGTTGTCCTATGCTGTTTGAGCACTGGTAATCCAGATTTAGTGATCCTGAAAAGTTCCTATCCGGATCAGATTGATCCAATCCGATGTTGCTTTGAAAAACTGGCTCAAAAAGTAAGCTGGAATACTTGATCACGGATCGCAAAAACAGGATTACTAAATCAGGATCAATTTTATCCGGATTAAACCTTTTGAAAAACCGGGCCCAGGAGTTCAGTCAGAGCAGGGGGAATCGGCTTACTAACAGCGCCCCCTGCTGCTGGAGTCAGCTTCCAGAAATGATCAGATGTGCTCCAACATTAGACATTAGGATGTATGGATATATAATATATGGATGGATATATGGATGGATGGATGAATGGATGGATGGATGGATATATGGATGAATAGATGGATATATGGATGGATGGATGAATGGATGGATATATGGATGGATGGATGAATGGATGGATATATGGATGGATGGATGAATGGATGGATATATGGATGGATGGATGGATGGATGGATGAATAGATGGATATATGGATGGATGGATGGATGGATGAATAGATGGATATATGGATGGATGGATGGATGGATGGATGGATGGATGAATGGATGTATGGATGGATATATGGATGGATGGATGGATGGATGGATGAATGGATGGATATATGGATGGATGGATGAATGGATGGATATATGGATGGATGGATGAATAGATGGATATATGGATGGATGGATGGATGGATGAATAGATGGATATATGGATGGATGGATGGATGGATGGATGAATGGATGTATGGATGGATATATGGATGGATGGATGGATGGATGAATGGATGAATGGATGGATATATGGATGGATGAATGGATGGATGGATGGATATATGGATGGATGGATGAATGGATGAATGGATGGATATATGGATGGATGGATGGATGGATGAATGGATGAATGGATGGATGAATGGATGAATGGATGGATGGATGGATACTCATTATTGTTGAACACATGCCTGATTATAAACACACGTCTGATGACCTGTCATGTTTATGGCTTTACAGTCTGAGACTATAATCTGAGAGTTGAGGCCCGATCTGACATTCAATACAACAATTCCGTGTGTTTGTGTGTGTTATTCATTGTGTTTGTGTATGTGTGTTATTTATTGTGTGTGTGTGTGTGTGTGTTTGTTCTCTGTCAGGCTTCGGTGTGTGACCCTCAGAAGCTGCTGAACATCGCTAAAGAGCTGCTGCAGACAGAAGAGGCCTACGTGAAGAGGCTGAACCTGCTGGACCAGGTGAACACACACACACACACACACACACACACACACACTGTTTACATCTTGACGTACAGGAGTTTCTGCAGATGAATGGTAACGTCCTGTTTCTGGCACTTCCTGTGACTCCGTTTCCTCTCATATCACTGAGTTTTAATCTGACCCAGCAGAACACACACAACACGCAGTGTATCTCATGGTGTATCTTCAACACGTTCATTCAATCATTTTCCTGCGACTTAGTCCCTTTATTCTTCAGGAGTCGTCACAGTGGAATGAACTGCTAACTATTCTAGCTTATGTTTTACACAGCGGATGCCCTTCCAGCTGTAACCCTGTATTGGGAAACACCCATACAGACTCATTCTCACACACACACTCAATTTAGTTGATCAGTTCCCCTATAGCGCATGTGTTTGGACTGTGGGGGAAACCAGAGCACCTGAAGGAAACCCACGCCAACACGGGGAGAACATGCAAACTCCACACAGAAACACCAACTGACCCAGCCGAGACTCAAACCAGAGACCTTCTTGCTGTGAGGCCACAGTGCAACACCACTGCCCATCGTCAGCACAGCGTCTCAGTAATACAGACAGAAAACATCAGTCAGACTCCATCAGATATATCAAAGAGTGAGGGCGGAGTCAACCTGTCAATCACACGCAATTCTCCAATAGCAAACCACAACCATCCAACACAATCAAGCCCCACCCACATTGGCTCTCCATCTAGAAAGCATACATAATTACCAGATACCCTGAGTGACAATACTCAACTTCTGTGTGTGTGTGTGTGTGTGTGTGTGTTTGCATGCATGTTCTTGTGTGTTCATACGTGTGTGTGTGTGTGTGTGTTCAGGTGTTCTGTGCGCGTCTGACGGAGGCTGGTATTCCCACTGATGTGATCACTGGAATCTTCTCCAACATCTCCTGCATCCACCGC